CAATGAAAATTCCCAATTATGCTTACTAAGTATATTAAACAGATTGGGTTTTGCAAATAAGAGTTGAGTTGAATTTAAATGACAAAGAACTGTAAATTGTTGAGAAAATATCAATTAAAGGTACTTAGGATTAACTTCCTTCCTTATCCTTTTTTGTAATGGCTAAATCAATTAAGAACGTCAATTAACCTAACAATGTTGATGTCACCTACTCAAATCATCCATGTTGATTCCTCACACATTAAATTCATAAGAAAACCTAATAAATGTTGATTCCTCACACACTTAACAGATTTTTCAGCATTAGGGTTAAGGTGTTTAAGCACTTGATACATTCATTCCATTCTTGGCAATTAACGTAACAAATACTTTTACCGTGATCTAGGGTTCAAGATATATTTTCCAATCATACCTCAAACAATTAAGAATAAATCATTTCAAAGCATAAAGGATAAGAATAACAACATCAAAACATAGATTAATATCTCAAAATATCATCATGATATAAAAGAGTTCAAAGGAAGTGCACCGAATCCTAAGAAAATGAAGTTAGTCACTCATGTTGGCCATTACAATGCTCCAATTGATGAAGAAGTGAAAAATTGATGAAGATTAGACAAAACCCTAACAGTAGTCGTGCCTCCTCTCCTCCAAGACTGCTTGTTTTTCTCAAAATACAACTTATCTTTTTATAAGAGAATTTGGGTCGGACCTCGCATCATTCATTCGCTTAAGTGCTCTTCTTTCTTTCAATTTTACTCCAATTATGCTGACAATTATGCTCATTACTCTTGTATCAAAGTATTCTCGAATTCATCCTATATTGGGAGAAAAATATATTAGAATTAACATAAGTTAAGTGGTTTTATAACAATTCAAGACATAATTATATCAACTTTTTACCACTTAACAGTGGACACCAAATATTTCATCTAGGATATAGAATTGTAGCATATAGCTTCTTTCGAGGTGGGGGAGGGGGTCATGACCCCTACCCCAAAAGTTTGTAACTTATATTTATGATTTTTATTCTCCAAAACTTAATAACATATCTTTTCAAATTCTTTCACTTTCACTTTCTCATATTCATTTATTATTTATTAATAATATATTATTAGGTCTCTTCAAAATACCTTGATCTTATGTTCGATATGATAATATCGTTAAAATCTATTACTACGTTCGAGATATTGTCAATTTTTTAACTTTAGTCTCGTTAGAGTTTTATCTTTAAAATGTGTTTGGTAGATTGAGAAAAGATGATGTATATAAATTGTTTTTGACCTCGAATATAAGCGATATGAGATTTATAAGTATATTGAAACATTTATAAATAAATGAAAAATATTTAAATTTTTAAGATATTTAAAAATAAATTTTATTTATTAACTAGTATAAAAATATTAAAATAGTTAATGTAATAAAATCAAGATAATGTTTTATGTGGATTGTAGCATAAGAAAGGTAAGTAAAAAAAAAGTTCAACGTTAGGTTGTTTATAATAAATTAAAAGAAAATACAAATGACAAAAAAGTAAAATGATTTTGTTTATTTATTTTAATTTTGTTATTATAATAATACTGTTATTACTAATAATAATAAATCGAAAAAAATAAAAAATATTTATAATCAATTATTTATTCAAATAATGCTTCAATTATTTTAACAAAATGTTGATACATATTCTCTTATTTATGTTGTTTTATGTTCGTTTATCATCTGAATACTATATTGTTTTTTACATAATAAAAAAATATAGAATATATTTTATAATATATATTAAGTATACATTTTTATTCCCAAAATTATAAATAAAAATCACAATTCTACATATTATATTTTTTCCATGAATTTATTATAAAAAGTGGGATTTTTTTAACAACATATTTTTTAAAGTTCTTTTTATTTAAATTTAAAAAATAAAATAAATTCGAATAAATCATATTAATTATTAAATTATCTTCTTTGATACTATTAAAACATGGTTTAAGATAGTTACTAAAAAAACAAAAAAAAACAAATACTGTATTTCAAGAAAAAAATGTTCAATATTTAAAATAAAAAACACAATTTTGAAACTAAAAATAGAGTTAAATGTCATAATAAAAAAAAAGGCTAAAAGAAATATAAAAATTTGATAGAAAATAAAGTATGTATTAAAAAAATTTATATGTCAATTTTCTGTAAAAATTAATTTATTAGCACTAGTAAATTTTTAATTTGTGAGATTTTATAAGTGAAGAGTAAATGTGGTTAGAAGAAGTTTGAAGGTTTATCCTTTTAATTAAAAAATTTTAATTATTCAAACTTTATTTATATAAATAAAATTTTAAAATCTATGCTATCTTTATAAGATCTTATATTTCGTCTTTTACTATATCTAATAATATTGCAGTGCTTCTAGTGAAAGATTAAAAATATTTTTATCTGATTATAAATTGGTTTAAAGTAAGTTTCTTTTCACCAATATTATTTTTAAGTAGTTTTATATGTAGAATTTTGGATTGTACGTGAGTTTGATCGGTTTGCATGTGATGTTTCTTGGACAAAGAGTCTTATGAATGTGCTTAATTTTGTTAATAAATGTCTTTTGTGAGATTAGAGAGTTTTAAGAATTTCTCATTTGAAAAAGTTCAGTATAAAATAAGAAAAACTCGTAATATAATTCTATAACACTTTAAGTTAGATTATGTAGATGTGGTAGACAACTTTGTCACTTGAATTAAATTGTAGAAAATGATATTGGATTCTTCCCTGATTTGATATACCCAAATTATTTCTTTTAATGCATTACCAAGTAAGTATAGGTATGCTATTTTCACAACTTAATGTTGGGCAACATTATAAAGGAGAAAGTTTATTAAATTAGTTTAATTACACTGAGTGAAAATCAGAAATATTTTGGAATTAAATTTGGGGTTTATGAGCTCAATTGGTCAATTATATAAAGTTTTTATATTTACATAATTTATTCAACAGATGATTTCTTGTTTAAAGAAAAATACAACAAAAACAATAATTCATTCGTAAAATCTTTTTGTTCAAGTGAAGATATTCGATGAGTAGTTTTATATTTTTAAATTAATTTTATTGTTTAAACTTTTAATTATATTAAATTTTTTATTATCGCAAAAAATATGTAGGGATGTACATTAGCGCAAGTGATTCTTGTAGGACATAATGACGTGTATGATTCCATAATCTGGATGTATTTTATAATTAATAATTAATCCCTATACATTCTTTTATTTATTAACAGTGTCCAATAACATGGTATTATTAATTAATGATACCGTGAAAGGTGGATTTAAGAAATAAATGTAACGTACTACTGCACGTATTTTCTATTTTATTAAAGATACCACCACACATCATGGATGGTTTTTCGTATCTGCTGATGAATGATGATGCAAAATACCAACTAATTATAATAAATGAAAGAAATTTGAAAATGAAAAAAAAGAAACCAAACATATTTTAACAAGCTAAGGCATGGAAGGAGTTGTCACTGTCCCTCTGATAGAAGACAAATGTGATTTGAAACGTAGAAAGTGATCCTCTACCCAAATGATTCCTAGCTCTTTTTCAGTCGAAATTTAATATTATATAAATATAAAAGAAAATTGTAAATAAATAAACTTTGCTCAAACTATAATTTAAAGAGAAATACCATCTCTCCTTATCTTTTACAATAATAATAATAATAATAATTATTATTATTATTATTATTATAAAATAACGAGATAAGCACGAGGAAAAAATGCATAATAAATTAAAAATACGATAAAGACAAAAACAATTAAAAGTTTTAACTTCATATACCATTAATATTTGCTAATTAATAAAAAATTCATATGAAATATGTTTTAAATTAATTATTTGAATGTTATTTTAATTGAGTTAAAAATATTATATGGTTACTTTATGGATAATATAATGTAAAATTTTAAATAAGTATTTTAGAGTAAAAATTTAAATATTTTTTATGAACTATTATTATTATAATAATAATAAAATTATCAAGTGCATTAATTCTTGATTAAATGATAATAATATATAATTGGTATATATATTATTATTATTATTACTATTATTTATTCTATTATTAATAAGTACTGTAATATCTTGTAATTTCTTTAATATTTTACACACAAAAGGTAATAATAAAAAAATTATTAATATTTTTTGAAGTACTTTCTTTAAATTAATATAGAAAACTCATGTTTAATAAACTTAAATATAAATAAATTTTAGTTTATTGTATTATTTAAAAAATCCAATAAATAAAACTAAATACAATTAAAGAAATAAACTTACTTTTTATGAAAAAAAAAAATCAAATGATCTTAAATGCTATCATATTTAGATGAACAAATAAATGAATATAAAAGTACGAAGTTTTACTTAGAGAGAAAGAAAATGGAATATATGATGATTTAAGTCAAATTTAAAACTTCTTTACACAAGCATAAACACACCGTTGCATTCTGTGGATACTCCCAGCTGTAATCACCGTGAATGGAGGTTGTGTTCCCATTACACATATATTGTGCTTGTTTTCATGATTCTCAAACTGAACTTTCATAACCAAAAACCAAAACCCAACGCCACACACAAGACGTGTGTGGCAGCCACTCATCCTACTCGGTTCCCGTCTCTTTCAGCTGGATGCTATTTCTATTCCAACTTTTTCTACAGAAAATCAGTTCCTCGTGCTTCCCTTTCCTAACTCCTCTCTTTCTCTTTCCTAATCTCTTCCACAAACCCAATTTCTCAAACACAAAGTATATTTAGGCAGGTAAACTTTGTGTTTCAGGTCAGTCCCCTTTTTCGGTTCATTGTGCTTTTTATTTACCAAATCTTGAATTTTTACCCCATCTGTTTTGGTGTTCTACTTTTCTTCGCCATTAAGTTTCATTCTTTCCATGGTCTTGAAAGTGGGTTTAGTTTTATAATATCTCAGCATGTTGTCCACTACTACAGTTTCTCTCCCCAAACGCATGGGGTTCAGATTCAGTTTCACCTTGTTCCTGAACATTTCCTTCCTCGTCATAGTGTTTTGTGTTTCTCTTATGCCCCACTTCTACTCTTCAGAACCTTCAGATTATGTTTTTCTGAAGAGCAACCGGTTTGGCTTGAGGGGGGATGAAGAAGATTGCAAAAGTTTTCACAAATTGAGGGACTCAAAAGCCAAGTGCTTGTACTTGAAATCCAATGATCCATGTGTTTCTCAGGGTTATGTTGATTACCTTTACCTTTTCTATTGCAAATTAGGGGGTTCCCCTCTATTGGGTCACGGTCTTTTGTTTCTTTGGCTTTTGGTTCTGTTCTATCTGTTGGCCAACACTGCCTCTGATTACTTTTGTCCTTCTCTTGAGAACTTGTCCAAACTGCTGAGGCTCTCTCCCACAATTGCTGGGGTGACTCTTCTCTCTCTTGGCAATGGTGCTTGTGATGTTTTTTCCACCCTTGTCTCTTTCAAGGGTAGTGGGACCCAGGACATTGGTTTCAACACTGTGCTTGGAGGTACTTCCTTTGTTTCCTGTGTTGTGGTTGGAATAGTGAGCATTTCAATTAGGCATAGGGAGATTCGGATCAAGAAGTGGGCGTTGGTGAGAGATGTTTGTTTTCTTCTCTTGGTTCTTCTCTGTTTGTTAATAATTTTGATCACTGGTGAGGTCAGTGTTCCTGGGGCAATTGGTTTTTGCTTGATTTATGTGGTCTATGTGGTGGTTGTTTATGTCTCATCTAACCGAGTGAAGAAAGGTGTGTTTGGAGATGCTGATGCTGACTGTGATCGTGATTTGAGTCATGGTGGCGGCAATGATTTAGGTGTCCCTTTGCTCAGTGAGATGGAGAAAGGACTCGCAAATACAGCTCAGGAATGTGACATGAAAATTGGGAGGAAATGTTGCTGTTTAAAATCTTCAATTTGTAGAATGTTACTTTTTGCAATGGAGATGCCCCTTTACTTGCCAAGGAGATTGACAATTCCTGTTATTTGTGAAGAGCGATGGTCCAAAGGGTATGCAGTTTGTTCAGCTATGCTAGCTCCACTTCTATTGTCTTTCTTGTGGGTATCAAGCAAGGAAGACAGCTTCAACTCAAGCCTTATTGTATATGGAATTGGATTGTTGGTTGGGATTACATTAGGGGTGACAGTATTTTTCACAACCAATGTGTCAAGCCCTCCAAGGAAGTACCTGTTTCCTTGGCTTGCAGGAGGATTTGTGATGAGTGTGACTTGGAGCTACATTTCAGCTCAAGAATTGGTGGGGTTGTTGGTTTCACTTGGTTACATATGTGGAGTTAGTCCTTCAATTCTGGGGCTAACAGTTCTTGCCTGGGGGAATTCACTTGGGGATTTAGTGACAAATTTGACATTGGCTTTGTATGGTGGAGCACAAGGTACTCAAATAGCAATATCAGGATGTTATGCTGGCCCTATCTTCAATATAGTGGTTGGATTGGGCTTATCTCTTGTGAGCACTACTTTTTCTCAGTACCCAGCTGTTGTTGTTTTCCCTAGAGATCCATATCTTTGGGAGACATTAGCACTTTTGGCAGTTGGATTGGTTTGGGCTCTTGTTGTGTTGATTAGAAGAGACATGAAACTTGATGCACTGTTGGGAGGAGGGCTTCTGGTTATTTACTTCATTTCTCTGTTTCTGAGGCTGATTCAGTCACTTGGGTCTCTCCAATTTCAGGATGTGTTAAACTCACTCTTCATAAGATGATAAGAATTGTGAATTTCTCAAAGCTATCCACCACTGACATCACTTTCTGTATAGAAACTATAAAATGCAACTATGATAGGTAGGCCTAAATCGGTAGAACTTCCACTGTTATCTGTATCTAGCTTTTCTTAGCTAACTCATGTCATCTCTAGTCCACTAAAATCACCAAATCACGTATAGAGAGAAGAATCAAGTTACTCTCTCAGTTTGCTAAAGTTTTTCTGTACAAATAGAATTTGATTTATTTAATTGTCCAATACTTGTATCTTAATTCAATAATCATGTAAATTAAATTTTAGATAAATTATATTTTTCAAAATAATCGTTCTTTAAGACCGTGGACATTATATTTAATGCTAAAATCGTTTGAAAATATAATTAAAACCGGATTTGTTTCTAATTAAAGAGAAATGAGAATATAATTAAGTGAATTTAATTTATATAAATAATTGCTTAAACCGAAAAAGTATGGTAACGTTGGTGGGTCGAACCAATCACATTTAAATGGCGTGTTACAAGTGGATGCATTTGTCATCTTCGAATCCATTCCAACATTGATGATAGAAATCTTTTGAAGACACAATCATACGAAGGAAACGCCAAAATAGTTACCATATTCGATATCATTGATTGATTCGAGGAATTATTATACACCGAACCAATGGTGATTGACGCTATACGGCAATAGAATATAACCATGGTTGTTCTCGTAGATTCCAAAATCTGAATTTGAAGAGTTTGTGTGTGGGCATGGAAATTATGTTTTGGCTAAGTTTGGACATTTGTTGGTATAATGGATAAAGCTTTCTTGGTTGTTTTGATATGTTCACTTCTTACGTGATGGGATGGGCCAGTTAGTAATAATGGACATTGCTTTTTTGGTCCATGATTGATTACATTTTTTTTTTAATTTGTAATTTTGTTTTTGGTTTTCATTTGTTCTTGATTTCGTTCATTATTAATTTTTGTTGTTGAGATTCATCATTAAATAAAAAATTAATTGAATATTGATTTGATCATTAAATACATATTATATTCAATAATATTGAGATTCAATTTGTATAACTAGTTTAATTCATTAATTAAATTAATAATTTGATAAAAAAATTGAATTGAAATATTAAAGAATTGGTTAATTGGTCTTTATTTTTTATTCTTGAATTCGGTTTAATCGTGTTTCCATTCAATTTTACAATTTTCAATCTCAAAATCCTCATATTTAACTTATTAAAAGAGAATTAAGAATAAAATATATTCAATATGTATGATCGAGAAAAATATCTTGAATAACGATATAATGCGGAGGATACCATCATCTATTAAATTTGGTTCCGAAACAAATCTAGCCTAATTTTAGATACAGTCAATGTTAATATAGATAAATAATTTTCGTTATTTCTTCTTACCATTAACTGCAAAATTATTTATCAATAATTTTACAATAAAGTAATTTTAATATATTTATCTTAATAGGTAATAAATCTATTCAATTTACTTGTAACATAATTTATCTCAAATATACTATAATCAAATTTAATTTAATAAAAATTTTGATTGGATGATCGCAATTATTATCCACGATAATAATATTTTATAAGCAACATATACAGCGTACATAGAACAAAATGATTGAACCGTAGTTTTTATCGATCAAAATTCATTAAAGATATTATTTTTATTTTATTATTAAGGATCTTTATTTTATTATAATATTTTATATTAGTTATTATTTTATGTATAATAAGTCATTATTATCGTGAAAGTTTGGTATTATATTTCAAATTCGTGTGAACCGATCCATATTTTATTTTCACCAGGTTTGACGTCTTCGAAAATTATTAACGTGACTTTGTATATATTGATAAAACTAATTTAAAATCGTTTTGCAAGCGTATAATACGAATTTATGAAATTATATGATAGAAAATTAAACTTATGATTATTGATTAAACTAAAAAATTATTAATTTACGTGCTTACTTGTTAATAACTTAGTATTATTTATACTATGTACAGATCACAAAATCTAATCTAATCTAAGTCAATTGTATTTAGATATGTGAATACACTAAGTCAAAATCTAATCTACATCACATGTTGAAAGTTGAAAGCTGAACTTCAGATGTAATACAGTGACACTAAGTCAGCGTCAATTTATTTTTCAAATAACACAAGAAAAGGAGAATATTTTTTCTACCAAATTATGTATTTATATATTTTTAATTATTTTATTATAAAATAATAATTAACAAGTTTAAATATATAAGATTAGGAGATCAAATAAAAAAATTTCAAATTCTTAATAATAACTTATGTATATATATAATCATGCACCTACTTACTCATCTATCTTGATTGGTAAGAACTTGGTTTTGCTTATTATCCCTCACAAATTTAATACTCTTATATAAGGTTTTATATTTCAAAATCTAATTCCATATTATTTAATTATAAAAATAAACGAAGATTCAAGAACATTATACAGTTGAGAAAGATATTTATTTTCTTCCTATAATTTAATTATGTAAAAATAATTAATTTTAAGATTTCATTTTGAATTAGTATTTTATGTAATTATTAAAAAATCAATATGATTTGATATGTACTTTTGTAAATAATAATACTCAATCTTACCCGAATTTTTTAAGTTTTAATTTGTTTTCAATCTATTTTATGGTTTCTGACTCTGGAAATTTTAGTTTGAGAAGAGAGGAACATAAAAAGGAATCATATTTGTACAGAATTTTGATTGTTTGCATCAACACCACGTGTCTTGGTTGTCACATTTTGTTAATTGATTGCAACGAAAAATATGGCTTCAGATTGAATATTCCACCCGTCATTTTCTTAGTTCAAGTTCAATTACTGGAACTGAGGAATCTGGATCAATAATTCCATCCGGATGTGGATCTAAACCATACAAAATTATATTGCTAGATAAAACTCATGTACTTTCTAAATTTAAAATCAACATTTCTCGTTTTTATTAATCTTTTTTATTTTATTTATAAATTATATATTGACTGAAATCCAATAAAATAATATTATGAAATTAAGTTTTAAAATATAAAACTCAAGAAATTTTTATAAAAACTTGAAGGATTTAATTATTATATATTAATAATGTTTAAAAACTTATTCTGTTACTCAATTATAAATTTCTTATAGAAAATATATTTGTGTGAAAATATTGTTTTATAATATAAAAAATATATATAATTACATTTATTAACTTATTATTATATTTAAATATCAGTTTAATAAATTATAAATATAAATAAAACAAGAAGTATGAGTAATATTTTATTAATAACATAAAAAAGCTAAATGTTTTTAAATATGGAAAGAATATTTAAAAAATTACTGAGAGCATTTTTTCTTAAAAAAATATAAAAAATGAGTATATTTTTGCAAATATTATTCATAGAAGAATATATAAATTATTTTCATAAAAATTATATATTATCAATTTAATACAATAATAAATATAAATAAAATAAAAGTGTCAGTAATATTTTATTAATAAAAAAAACTAAATTTTTTAATACGGAAAGATTATTTAAAAACTTACTGAGCGCTTTTTTTTTCTTAAAAATATATAAAGAGGGGTATATTTTTGCAATTGATTGTAAAATGGGGTATAACTAGGCATGATTGACTACTCGGTGGAGAAGGGTAAGGGCGGGTTTTGTCTCCCGATCCCCACCCTCGACTTTTTTAATCATCTTCGTCTCCGTTTCGATCCTCGTTGTGGTTAGAAATTAAGTCTTCATTCCCATACCCGATCTATATTATTTTTAAAAAGATAATTATGTTTATAATAAATTAATATATAAATAAATATTTATAATTTGACAATTTGTAATTATTATTAATTAAATATATTTTTTGATTTAATATATTTATATTAAAATATATATGTAAAAGAAATATTTAATCATCTTATATATATATATATATATATATATATATATATATATATATATATATATATATAATATTAACGAGATTCGCTTGTTTGAAACCCTTCTCAAGAAGATGATACCCTTATAAGGAAGATTTTCGACTCAAGGACCTTTCACCTATTATACTCAACTGAGTCGGTCACTAGACCAACCATTGACTTCGATACCACTTGTTAGGTATATCAGAGAGGACTAACAACAAAGAGATTCTCACAAATGGGTCATGAACCAACCATATAAGAGAATATGAGACCATCTTCAACCCAAAATCTTTAGGCATTAGGTTTTGGGTCTTCCTCACTTTTAAGTTACTCCACTTTCCCATTTCTATCTAATGTGAGACTTCAAACTCACACTTGAATTCTCAAAAAATTCAAGATGTTTTAGATCAAATTTGTTTTCTTTCTTTTAATGCTTTCATTTACTTTCTGCAATTAACATTTCATTTACTAATTTTATGCAATTTATTTGCTTTCTTCTACTTTTTTTTGCATTTTTACATTGATGTCATGTGTTTCAAAGTTCTCTAGATTTTTTTTTCAAAATCTTTTTTTATTTATTTAGATTTGATTTTTCATAATTATAATCGTTTGTAATTCATTACAATCAATGTAATTGAGATTATTTGGTTGAATCTCTCAATTGACATCATAAATCGATTTCTAAGTTTATACGATTGTTTTTTCTTAGAAATTGAATTATGTTTTTAGGTCAATTAAATATGATCAATAAATTTGATCTAATTAGTTGAATATGAATCTTTAAAACTTTTATAGATCTATCTTGTAGTTACATTTAGGTCTATAATTACTAAACAAGTTGATGATTAGGAGTGTCAATATGGGTTCTAACCCGTGAACCAACCCGGCTCACCACGGGTTCGAGCCGGGTTGGGTTCGATTTTTTTATTTCTACCGATTATGGGTTAAAAATGAACCCGGCTCACTTAACCCACAGGTTAAACGGGTTCGAGCCGGGTTATGGTGGGTTGGCCCGCAACCTGTCATTAATTTTAAATTTTAAAAATAATTATAAT